AATAATGTAAAAAAATGTAGATGAGAATTATTGAATTGTTGATATTGATTTGTAAATTGTATAGAGTAGAGTAGAGAATGAGAGATTGATATTGATAGTAAGTTTTGGTGGGAAAAAATGTTGTGATGGGTGGGTATTTATAGGGAAAGAAAATTAGAGAAATGAAGAAAAGAAAAAATAAAAATAAAAAACAAATAAACAAAAAATTAAATGTGACCAAACGGTCACTGAAAAATTCAATGATCGGAACGTCACAATAGACTTTTAATTATTATTATTATTTTTTATATATGAGCTACTAGCTGAGTAGCTTATGGCTCGTAATAACGACGAGCCACTCAGCGAGCTGCTCGTTTATATGACGAGCCGACTAGCGAGCCGGCCTGCTCTACTCGGCTCGTGCTCGGGCTCGTCTTGTTGACGACTCGAGCTTGTTTTTGGCGAGTCGACGAGCCCTCAACTCGATTGCCACCTCTAACTTGATGGGATGGAAGTGAGAATGACCAACCCATCCTATACCAACCTGTTGCCATCCCAAACCGCCATCGCCACAAGATCAAGGTCACCTCCAGATCTGTGCAACCATAACCACCAAAATAATCTCTCTCCAAATACTAAAAAATCTTGCAATTTTCAATAAGGAAAATATGGCCACAAAACATATAAAAAGAAGCAGTAGTAATTTGCAGCCACTTTCACCATCAATTTCCATGGATGCAAAACCACTTTAATCTTAAATCTAGCCACCACCGTCGTCATCTTTTTCTCCTGCAAAAATTCAATACTGTGCTTGCAAACACCAATCACATATTCTACTTTCACATATCGATGCCACCATCAAAGCCCAAATCAGTGTCAAAATATGATTTATTTTTTTCTGAACAATGGAGAAACACTAGGTCTTAAGCAAAAAAACTAACTTTGTAACGGTAGTTATCGTGACGGTGTAGACGATTAATGGCAACACGTGGATGCCCGCGTTCGATAAATAAAATATTGGTGGTCCACTGATTCTAACTTCTTTCTTGCATGGATGTGTAAAGTAGATTTCAAAATCAGATTAATGTTAAAATTAATAAAAGATTGTATATATTCTTTAAAAAAGTATTTAGTTAAAGAGTAAGTTTGCAATAACAAAAAGCAAGGGAGTGGTAGGTGTAATTTTCCCTTAGTTGGGGAAAATGTTTGGGCTTGGGTAAAGGCCCAAAGCTGTCAATTACTCTGACTTTTCTTAGATCAATCAAATATCTGAATATGGGCCCAACTATGTGAATTTCTTGACCGAATTTGAATGCAGTAAGAGCATGTTTGGGCCTTGGTTCTTTTGTGGTTTTCCATAAGGCAAATAAGCAAGTCATAATTTGTGTGCGACTCACTCCGCATTTACTTTTTAACCACAAATTT